CCCTTGGGATGCCCACTGAGGGGAGGGAAGAATTAGCATGTAGCAACAGATATCTGGTGCCAGTTTTGGGTGAAGATATTCTCTCCCCCCCCCTTGCCCCAAATAACCTGCTCAGTCAATCCCCTGGACCCCAGGGTAATCAATGCTGGCAGGCTTTCTACACATTCGCATATTCTGTTACGCTCTGTATATGGGACGCTGGACCCGTTTTCCAGCAGGTGTTGCTCCCCACCAATCGATGGAGCTTCTCCCCAGGTGCTAAACATGCACTTCGTGAAAAATGGACAGTTCGTGAAAACTGGACCGGAGTCAAAAAATTTACGTTGATTTCTTAAAGAACTGGTTTTAGGGCTGTCACACAGGACACTCATTGGCCATTGTTACAAACATCAGGGCATAAACCTATATTCTTGGTCAAGCAATGAGACAGATGAAACAAAAAAAAACAAAAAAACATGTTATTAGTAATACATCCAAGTTGCGGGTCCGCTTTGCATAAGAAAAACTTTTTTTTCGGCAGTCATATTCACAAGTCCATAGTAAGTGAGGTAATCCAACAAGATCGAAGGAAAAACAAATAAGCAAACATTTCAATAACCAAAGCAAAATATGAACGATTGTAAAAACAAATTGCAAGTACACATAAGAAAACAATTTTCCGTAACAAATTATGCTGCATTTACAAGAAAATTTTAATTTCAAATGTGCGGAGGTAAGGAGCACGAGCAAGAAATATCATAACAGATACAATAATAAATAGTAACATTGCAGTCTACTTTTTCGAACTCCTAAGTGAGGCAAGAGATACATTTTCGTCCTCATCTTCCTCTCCATTAACTGCGCCTATACAGTCTGTAGTGTCAATCTCCTCCAAGGTCTTTGTAATTGTGTCTAGAGTATTTGTATACAGTCCTCGGTCTGCTTTCAAGCAGAAGTTATAGCACAAAACTCCACAGTCCCATGCAAAAGTCCGTTATATCGGTCTGCCTGTCACAAATCCTCGTGAATCCGTATAGTTAAATGAAAAATATTTATCATTTCCATTTTTCGCATACCAGTGGCCTATAAACTTCTGCTCCTCTAAGACTTGTTTTGCTTTCACTATGAAATAAGGCTTTCTATACTCCTCTTGGTCTCTCCTTGCCCTAACAGCCACAAATGCACCCTCCTTCAGATCCTCAAAGCCTCCTCTTTGCTTATGAACTCTAAACGTCTTTCTATACCCAACATACAGTGGCCTTTCAGGAGGATTGATATCTCCACGTATCATCTCAGCGTCTGCAGGTCTTTTGGCCGGCATGTTGGAGCTGTTCGAAACGGAGGAGTCGCCACGTGGCCAAACAAATGGATGCTCCAGGCAGGTTGTGTCGAAGTCCATATTATCTTGTTCAGCGAGAAAATGTTCCCACTATGCAACGGCCTCAGCATTGGTATATTTGGAAAATGCTTTCACATTTTCACGTATTCCCGCCAATGATAAAGTTTTATCGATACTTCTTTTCTCCTCGGAGGCTTTGATCCGCTTATCCATGCTTCGCACAACATGACGTGGAGCTGCATGCACACTTCCGTCCGAAAATGCCTTGAAGATATCCAACCCATAGGTATCTTGCGGGTGCCATGACGATGTACAAAACTGCCTACTCCAAACAACAGCAGTTCCAACAACATTTCTCTTGATACGAAAGTATTGATTGAAACTGATATCATAAAGAGGTGCCAAGTGATCCTTCMCATAAGCTTTCCAGTCGTAAACTTCAAAYACCCGCTCAACATGGACACCTGCATATTTCGTATACGACTGTCTGATGACCGTCTCCAGTGCAAGCAGGTCATAAGCATTCTTACGCGCAAGGGCTSTAGAAAAGCAACTGAAMATCTGATCAATATTYTCATGTGTGTGACCCACCAAAAGGAAGTTKAGCTTGATTTTCTCGAAAACCTTCATGTGGACTAAGTACACAAGGTACGCCAAAACGAACTTGTTTTTGTTCTTTCGTGATGTGTTGTCGAGAGTCAAAAACAACACCTTCGGCAAAGGTCTTGGYAGATCCGAAAGAACTCTATGAAGCACGGTAAGCATGGAGTTTGAGTCATTGCTAAAGTTGTCGAACATCATCATGGCGTACGCTTTGTGCAGATGTCCTTCCACCTTTGCACCCACGACATGTACCTTCAAGAMSTCCGCCTCCCTAATTCTYGAATCTTTCGGAACACGATGAAAATGAGGAAGATTGGTCTTGCTTTGATCCATCCCGTYAATAATAACGGCTACATACTTCTCCGGTAACGACTTCGCTTTCAGTCGACGGTCCATCAATTTTTGTCTCTCCATCCTCTGCGCTTCAAGATGGTAGTGCAACATTCTTTGGAATTCCTCTGCAGCAACAACAAGAAAGACAAAATATGTCATCACAAGGAGGCAAATGGTAAAACCGACAACAAAACAAAGAAATCCCAAAACAGGGTAGAGGAAGACGAGGGCAGTATGCAAAATAAGATGCCCACCTTTTTCGATGGGCGAATTAGCTCTCCCACCCTGGAGCTTTAACTGCGCACATTGGGCGCAAATGGAGGATCAGTTCTTTGCCGGGATGCAAACCTTCGAGCAGCATTCTGTCCACACGCTTGTAAAAAATGAAATTGAAGGGACCACATCACCAGGATACAGGTGGCGGAAATGAGCGACGAAAAATTCATAGACTTCGCTCTCTGGTGGAACCTATCGGTGTTTGGCATGGACTCCGTGTTCATGATGAAGTAGGTCTTCATCCACGCGTACACAACCATGTACCTCACAGATGGGCAACGACTGCCGAATTGCCATGCACGTAACCATGCTCGTCGTCACGAATCGCGGCACACACCCCAACAACTCGCGTCTTGGATAGTCCATAGAGGCGGCCCCATGCAGTCGAGCAAACAAATCGACTTGCGAAAGCGAGACGCAATGATAGTAGAGTGCCATCAGCGTTGTAAGTCGACACCTTTCTCACCTCCTGTATCAATAACTCCATCTGTTGCGGCTGTTTCATAGCCCTGAACTTGCTTATTACATCCAACACCTCCTCCAAACGGATTGTATCCACGCAACTTCTCACACAGCAACCACCATGGAGAGCCGCACAGGCAGAGGTGGGTCTAATGAGCACACGTGCCTTTTTGTTGCGGACACGTTGATTTGCGTTCCTCTTGCCGAGAATGTACTGATGCTTACGCCCGAATTTGGTGTAAATTTCTTTACCCTCACGCCCAGAAACACCATCACCATAGGTGTTTCCATCGCCCTCCACGGTACAACCAGAATCTTCGAAATTATTAACGTCAGGAGAAGGAAGAATATCCTTAAGCTCGAGGAAAAAGAAAACAGGGATGGCGTCGGTCTGCAAGGGCTCGCAGAACACTCTTCTTCTTTCAAGTACCAGCGGATCAGAGAACAGATGTTTGATCCGTTCCACGTCCACCGTAGCTTGGTCATCCATCACGAAGCATCGACGCACAAATTTTTCGTCAGCAGCAAGGCAGAATCGTCAGACCCGTCTTGACGACAACAAGAATCACCAGACCACGCACGCGAACCCGTCCCGTTACAACGGTCAATTGATAAACGAAAGAAGGAGTCGGGACACGACAAGCGTGAGACAGAAGTGAAAAAACAGTCTGGACCCGACAGACTTCGGCCAGTGACTTCCACGCGCCCGCCCACCAGCACGGAAGGAAGTCGAAACCGCCGGGCGACACGCCCCTAAACTCTTTGTGAAATCTTGTCCAAGTGGGAGGGAACCTCGTCAAATTTTCGCGCACTTTTCACAAATTTTTCGGCACCCGAGTTCCCGCCAAAACCGGAAGGCGAGGGAAATGGACCACGCACAAAAAGCGCGCCAGAGGATGACAAAAAACCCAACCAATTCATTTTGCAACTTTGGGACTCCCGAAGAACACGTGGAGAACGCACAGAGGCGACAGAAACTGCCAGGCCCCTCCAGACGATAACAAAGATCATCAGACCACGCACGCGACACCATTTCGACACAATGGCCAATTGACAAGTGGAAGAAAGAGTCGGGACCCAACATGTGTGAGACAGGAGTGAAAAGAACAGTCGGGTCCCGGCAAGCTTCGGCGAGTGACTCCAGGCGCCCGCCTACCAGCACGAAAGGAAGTCAAGACCGTCAGGCAACGTGGCCCTAAATGTTTTCTGAAATCCCGCCCAAGCCCGAGGGAACCTCGTCAAATTTTTACGCAATTCGCACAAATTTCCCCAAGCCCAGTTCCCGCCGAAACCGAAAGGCGAGGCCGGCAGCAGGGGCACGCCAGTGAACTACCCACGAAAAGCGCGCCAGAGGATGAGGATAAAGTCAACCATTTATTTTGCAGCTTGGTGTCCCCAGGAACACGTGGAGGACGCACAAAGTCACTGGCTGAACACTCACACGGCGACCCCAAATTCGCAAAACAGAAGGATTTCAGAAGGGCCGATTCGAGGTTTCGGGCATGGTTCGAGTCACAGCGATGCACCATTTCAGACGGGACAAGGGCACACCGCTGCACCGTTTCAGACGGGATCCGACACCGGGACAAGGCCGGCAGTAGGGGCACGCCGCTCCCCCTCCGCCGCTCCCCCTCATCACCACGGGAACACAGGCAGGGTGTGAAGATCACCACCGAAGCCAAACACCAGCAAGCCGCGGCCCGGGAAGGCTTGGGGCAGTTTCAGTTCGGCCTGCTTGTGTTCCCTACCGTCCCAAGGTTTCCCAAGCCGCGAAGGCCACCACGGAAGGCGAAGAAAGGCAGGCCGCACGGAAACTACCGGAAGCCGTGCCAAGAGGGAAAAAGCGGCACCAAGAGTGAAAAAGAGGCGCCGAACCGGCAGCAGTTTGAATTCGAACGGGCAGCAGGCGACGAGGGAGGACCAGCTGCAGCGCGAGAGCCTGGGTGCAAGTGGGAAACCCTGTAGCGGACGCGGGGGATCTAGAACCGGGAAACAGCTGTAGCGCGAGAGCCTGGGTGCAAGTGGGAGAGGAAGGTCTGCTGTGGAAGCGAGGGGGAGGGAGCACGAGCATTGCCCCAACAAGCGCCGACAAGGGAGGAGCAGGTGCCAGGGAAGAAGAAGGAAGCCATGGCCGGAAGACGGGCGAGAGGACTGCTAGACGCCGAAATGGACGACGGGGATACCCTCGGCCTCTCCCACTCGCTGAATGCCATGGCAACTCGCACCGAGGGAGAGGAAGACATTGAAGACGAGGAGGAGGAGGAAGAGGAGGAGGAAGAAAATGATGGCTCTGGGGATGAGGAAGAGGAAGGGGACGAAGAAGACGTGCAGCGGAACAAGGAGAACCATCCGACAGAGAATGTGTCCGGAACGGCGAGAGTGAACTATTTGCTGGCGTTCAAGTACCTAGAGGAAACATACACGTCAGCGCAAACACTTTTTGAGATGAAGCCGGACTTTGATCTCCTAGGGTGTAAGTGGGCTTCGCAGCCCACACAGCAGGGGTTGTTCTTCTACCGTTATCTGACGAGGGCATGGAAATAAGAACCTGTGGGTCTTTGCATTTGGGTTGCGAAGACCATAAGAGTTGAAGACGGACAAGAGGTCCACGTGACGAATCTATGGACAAAAAGGAAGAAGGTAATCGCGAGATACGTCCTACAAAAGAAAGACTATGTATAGGGTGCTTTCCAAGACCCAAATGGAGTACTGCATCACAAGCTCCGGACAGCTCCCGACGAGGTAAGACATGTCATCAAGCATATGATCAAGATTGATTGATTCACTCAAGATCTTTGTCCTCTGCAGGTGCGTCCGCGACGCGATTCCCGATTGGAATCGATTACGTAATCGATTCCAATCAGGAATCGAT